TCAAATTGTTGGTGAATACTTGGTCCTACAAGATTCGCTTTCAAAAGTGTACATCATGGTGTGAGTGCTACCATCGCGCCTGCACACCTCTACATCCACCTCGAGCAACATCATGTGTTACTAGTACCAACACCTCCAACACCTCCAACACCCCCAACACCCTAACCACCCGCCTCTACACCATCCGCTCGAAAAAGCCAAAGAAGAGATCCGACGCGGATATCACGGTGACGCTTGTGATATCAACGCCCTACATCTTCTCCGTTCAGGGTGCAGCGCGAAACCATCATCCAAACCACGAACACGACCAGCTGCAGTACACATCACTCTACCGACGCCGGCAGAGTATTAGACAATTTTTTTTACGGTCCGCTACCCTAATGAACCTCACCGAGCGAACAAGAGGACCTATCCTCTGGGACGTTGACGTTTTCTGCCACAACGCCGACTTTCCACGCCGCACTGATTTGAGGCTTCACCAACACACACCGGCGACCAGCGTTGACTGATACCGAGACACCTGGGAACGGAATACTTGCGATGAGGCTGGCTACGGATAGGTTCCGTTCAGGAAGCCAGAATGAGAACCCAGTTGCAGGAATCAATACCCCGATGCTGCAATAAAACGTTTTCAAAATCCTTCCACACACCGTGGGCTTGGAGGTTGGCTATTCCGAGTGTTCAGCAGATGTCGTGAGCGATGTCCAGGAATGGCTTCTTAAGACGCCAAAGAAGCCAGAATGGTCCTGTTGGTGGACATCCATGAAGACGCACAAGAAGGGAAAGGACCGACAGGAGACACCGGACGTGCACCGAGCTTTGTCAATAAAAAAGCTTCAATTGAAGGTCTTCTTGAGCAAAACCAGGACCGAACAGAAGCTGGACGGCGGAATGTGAACGCCAATCAACTTTATTCCGCCGGGAACCCGCGCTTCAAGACGGAAAGGCCCGAGCATTGTGAGACTCCTATCGTCGTGGACCTTTTTTGATAGCTAACGTTTTTCAGTCGATTATGCCTCTTGATAGACATTGGGAGCGTTCCCGTCGCTTTATCGCGGCCCAAGAGCACGATCGCTTATCCGCCGAAGAAGGTTTTTGCAAAGCAGGGTATACATTTTGGCGCACCTACGCGCCCTGGGCTCCTTGAGGCCACGCAGTCGGTGTGCTCGGTTCGGCCGCGATGAGAAGTGCGCCGGTGGTGAAAGAGTTGGGAGTGATTCGAGGGGAGTATTTGAAGACTGTATGCGTTTTTGCTTTCTGTTTGTGGTTGCTTTTTTTTTCGAACGAGGGGGAAGTGATTGATGCGAGTGTATGCGTCTTGTAACGATGCTCTGGTTTATAGAGCTACAAGGCGTTACCCTAATGAATGTATGCATCTTCATCTGAGGTTCATTACCATTCTTTTGGCATTCTTTCCTGGAGCAAGTGCGACGGCATATTCGGTAGCGGAGGGTTTAAAGCAACACCGTCGCACACACCTGAAAGTCCTGCTGTTCTTGATTCCGAAGGACCTGTGTGTTGATGCATCCAAAGTATCATGGTGGCGAAATGGGCTCAACCTGTGGGGGATTTTCTCATGGCTTTTGGGCTTGCTCTGTGGATAACATTTGGGTCGAGAAGACTGTACTTCGGCATGAATTGTCACCGCCGACGGGTTCTTGTGAGGATAAACGAACTCAAACACAGTGGAATGTTTGTTTTTTCCAACCAGCAGCCATCGAAGATTAAAAATACCCCAAGATGCAATTGAAAAAAAAAAACACACAATAGACACCAATAGATGCTAGAATAACGATAGGCCTGCACGCAAAACACCGACAGAACACCACCCCTAGGAACAACTGGCTGGTTTGGTGTGCATGTTTGGCCGCACTGATGATGCGTGAACGTTGTGCTTGCCGTAGCAGAAGTCCCTGAGCAGTTGTTGTTTTCAAACGCAAGCATGGTGGACCACGCAGCCACGAGGCCTGCAAATGGTATCTGATGAAGGAATCGGTCACGTCGGCCCTGGCCGGCCGTTATCTAGTCGATGCCCCCTCTCCGTCCCACGAACCAGATCTCAATGGTCCGGTTGATTGCGCACTGTAGGACTCGGCTCCGTTGTTGGCATGCCTAGCGGCTCTCGGTGCTAAGAAGTTTAGGGATGCAAATGGGTGGCATCATTAATGACGGTCGAGTAAATCTTGGTGTTCCGTCGGTGCAGGTGGGCAAGGAGATGTGCAAGTAACAACGTTGCATGGCCTGTGCCCGCTCGGTGGAAGTCCTTCACGCGAAGGCAGCTGCCCATTCATGATACACTCTGTGAGCATGGGCGGCGCATTTACGGCGAGGACGCGAGGTAACGGACATGCTTGCTTGGTAGTTTGACAACGTATGAAGGCGAAAACAAAAAAAAGGAATCCATGTTGATGGTGGAAAAACCTCTTGCCAGAGGGTTTGGGGGGAAGCGGAGATTTTTTGACGTTTATGTAGCTCTGGATCTTGAATAGAATGAATGGCTTCAGCACTGCTCGTTAGCCCCTGGAAAAAACCGACCTGGTGAGCGGGGGAAGTTTGGGTTAGGACTGGCAGGATTGGCAATAACTTGTAGGGTGGCAACTTGCGCGGTCCGCACGGCTTGCTGAGCGAAGAGCTTGACGCGTTTCATCGGCTTTGGTCTTGACGGTAATATGCTGGCCTGAAAAGCCAGCGTTGAACTCCAAGCTTCATCGCCGCAGGAGCGGCGCCCGGAGTGACTGCAAGAATTGCTGGGTGATTCAAGGGTGACTTTGCGTTCACGGAATGTCGCCCGAAGCTCTCATGGTAGGATTCCCCTTAGACTAACATTGTGGTGTTGTGGGATTCGATCCTGGATAGACATGGTGCGTCGTAGGCCTTGAACAGTGTGTCTTGCAAAAGAATCCTTATCCAATGCGAGTTGTAGTAGTACATATTGGGTGAACGGAGGAAACTCCGAGGTGTTAGGCCGAGCCAGACAGATCGTTCGGATGCGCTGCTACTATACCGGCCACCAACTTCAGCTCCAACAGCCACTGATCCTCAACACCCTTCACCACGCCCTGTCCACCATTGAGACAGCTAGTTGCTGCTGTAAGGTCACACGACAATCCGGATTCTGCAGAGCGCTTTGCAGTCGTGAGGAAGGGGAAGTCATATCCGGTGACGAGGGTGCGGAATCAGCACCTCCGAGCGAGTCGCCGGGTCTGAACTCTTTGTTGTAATCAAACCAATACATATTCGTTCGTTCACAGCGGTGATATTTGACCAAAGTTCAAATGGCGAGGGTAGGTAACTCGTCCGTAGTCCGTGACGGACGATATGAGTGTGTAAGATTATCATCGTCTCTCGTAATGCAGGTGTCCGATTGTGGGTCGGTAGGTGAGGCGTAAAGCTCTATCGCTCATGGCAGGAAGCATTGTTGCTTCGCCAGTGAAAGGGAGCGTGAGAGGCGCAGATCCCCATTTCGAACTCTTTGGGAAGGGGATTATCGCGTAACCCAGTCGAAAGGGGGGGCTGTTTTAAAACCCGAGGAGCCGTAGATCGTGGCGGAAACGTGAAAAGCCGTGCGGTTCGATGAGAAGGAACTGTGTATGCTGATCGCAAACCATCTTTCGCAAGTGTAGAGAAATCGCAACTGATCCTATACTTCTTTGGCGTCAGGGAGCGAACCTTGCAAAGTCTGCGTGGTGATCTGGGTTGGCCAGGTGCAAGGTGGTTCAGGAAAATAATCCTGTATTCAATACCCGCCTTTTACCCATCGCAGCCAAGGGAACCGCGAACTTGCCAGTGTCGGTGCATGTATCAGCCAGAGAGGCTGCCCGGTGTCGAAGCATGTCCGTTGAGGGCGGTATTCATAGTGAGTAAAATGTCTGCGTGATCTTCGATGTGTAGTTGTGAAGGAGTAAATTTTTTTAAGCAGGGGCAGCAATACCGAGAAGTTGACGGGAGAAGAGACAGTTGTGACATTCCGTAGGGCACTCAATGGTAGAGAGTAGTCAGGCCCTGAGACCTCACACACAACAACGAAGCGTAGACTCGCTAGTCGTAGGAAGACGGGAATGGCAGAAAACTAAGCAGCAATCGAGAAGACGGGGTCACCCTTTAAGATGAACAACCGGAAAACCGCAACATGCGGCATCTGACCGATCCACTGAAATATCACACTTCCCGTACTGCCTGGAGTCAAACACCAACACCACCACGTACAATAGCAGCCGAAAGCTCCACAACGTGGATAGGCCCGATCTATTGATTGTCAGAATTTCACCCATCGCCACCACAGTGCCGGTTCCGGATCATACTGGAATGCTGATCACCATACCCAGGCTGGCTGCGGATGGGCTCCGTTGCCCGATCCAAAGGCCCGGCTGGGTGGCCGGCTTCCCCACCAGCGGCTCGCTGGAGAGCCGGGGGCTGGGCCCGACCTGTCAGCGAGCCGCCCTGCATCACTGGAAAGCACTAAACGCTTTGAAGCCAACCGGGTTTCAAGGCTTCCAGCCCGGAGTCATCCCACTGGCTTGGGGACACTGGCCGCAGGACCCTGCTTCGAGCTCAGGATTTACCATTGTTTTTTACCCGTCCGATGGGTCTTGGGGTGAAGGGTTATCGTCGGTATCCGAAATTTTGCCGGATTTCGGAGATAATTATTACCCGGGCAGGTCGAGAGATCGGACGAGGTGGCAAGCATGACCAAGCCTTAAAGCGGCATAGAATAAACCTGGAGCAGGGCGCCCTCCAGTGCAGCGTCATTCGTAAATTTTTGGGAATCCTTTCCTGGCACGTACGATACCAGGACCTCGGTTATTACGCTGTTTTGACGGCTGCCCTGATTCGGGGTACCATAGGATCCGGCAGCCCATCCTTCTGGCAAGTTTTCATCAACGATGTCCTCTAGCCAGTTTCAAGCTCCAACAGAGGGTGCGAAAGGAGAGAAGTAACCTTATTTGCGGATTAGCTTTGCATCGCTCATGTAGCTGGGACGTCTAATACAAATATCGGCCGGTCGGTTAGTGTAGTGGTTAGCACACCCGTCTCGCATAAGTACTGAGGATTCTGGATATTCACAGCACTTGGGTCGTGAAACCCTGGTTCGACCCCAGGACTGACCGTTATTTTTTGCCAGTTGCTTTTACTGCGGCCGCATTACCTTCGTTCACGATTGTGAAATTGCCGCAGAAAAAGGCATTCTAAAATCTCTGCAGTGTCGCGTCAATTTCTTAAAGAATTTCATGAGACGACGAAGGTTGCGGTATGTCCCCATGCCATGCCCGCGAAATCGACGGCAACCTTTCACGACGCGGCATCATGGCTTTTTCATATGCAAACCGGCACACGGGCTATCTGTAGTTGCAATCAATGGCTGTTTGGTTGTCGGGTTATCCTTGGCACCCTCAACGAAGACACCGTGTTGAAATTGCCAACATCGATACCCGCAAGGCTGCATGCCGACATGATGAGTAAATAAGCTAACGGTTGGTTTTTAAGAGGCCCGCGAAATGACCTCCCAAAAATGTAAAATGCCTCTAGGCCCAGCCCCCTCGCGTAAATAGTGCGCGTCGTTTTAAACCTGAACCTTTGAATAAGGGACGAGGCTGTCTGTGTTCGGTGGGCGAGGCGCGAGTGATTTCGAGCCAGGATTGCCAGCAAAACACCTCTGGTTGCGCCATAAGCGACCGGGAGCTACCCGATGTATCACCATCACACACCAGCACCTTCAAACCGCACCCACCCCCTCCCTAAACTCTATGTTCGTTCTTGCGCTGTTTTTTTATTTGTTGACTGTGTCAGGTTTCAACAGTCTCCACACTGCGGGAGTGTGGGACTATCTGAGTGTGACTTGAGCCGTCACTGGCTCCCAAAAATCTTCAGCACACAGTCCGCTGCCGTGGCCTCAGTCTTGCTTTTCCTCCCACCCTGTCAGCCCCAGATTCAGCGAAACACTGATGAACGACAACCTCGATAACAACCAGACGAACGCCATAAATCAGAACTCCATGCCCCGATTGTCGGTGTGCTCCGCCCGCTCCCAAGTCAGTTTTTGCCTTCGCCCGCACTAAGACTGAGACCGCCGGCGTTGTCGCTACCACCCCCTTTGTCCAGAAGACCGTCTTTGGAAAATATCACCCAGCCGTACATAACGTGTTTCGCCGATGGCCATCCATCTTGACGACGTCTAAGACCGCTGCGACAGCAATTGCTATCACCAGTTCAAATCGCAGGGAAAAAAAAAGAAGGGAGGAAGCTGAAGTATAGTCCTTTGTCAGTATCACCTTCCTGGCAATCTGAACATACCGGAAACCTGACACTACGACTCCCTATCGGCATAGTTGTGTAATTTTTATCCTGCCAGCCATCGCACCCCGGAAGCACGATGGATCCATTCATGCTATCCTACTACAGTCATTGACAGCTTTCCAAAGTGCTCCAGCTACCTGCACAGTTCAAAGCAATACAGCTCAAACGCCGCTAAACGTTAACGCCCAGTGCCCTGTCCGTTGGTATGAATAACACCCTTGTCGGGAGGAACTACTTTTATATTCAGTCTGAAAAAGCACTTTGGGACTGACCAGCCTTTTTGTGCGCTAGTTGCTCCTACCTCGTATGGTCCCAACCAGCCCCCGATGTTGGGAGAGACCAGATGCGATGTTCAGAATTATTGTAAGATTATTACACTTACTATGGTTTCTTTCTTACGTATTTCCTTACTAAGATATAAAACTATAAGGCAGTAACGATGGTATGATAACA